GGCCTGGCCACACATCGACCCCAGAAGATGACATCTAACAGAGAAAGAGAAAGTGATAGAGATGGAGAGAGATAAGGGAAAGCTGTTCAAACTTCAAATTTAAAATTTCTGGAAAATAAAAATCTAATAATATTTATGATTAAAAAATAAATTATTGTATTAATGTTATTTTTAAATATTTTACCTAATTAATGCAACCAATGATATATACGCAACTATCACGTGCATTGTTGTTAAAATCTCAATTTATCACTTCGATTTTACGTTTTTACGATTTGTTTTTCATCAAAACAATTTTACTAATATTCCAAACGCTTTTATGTTTTTACGATTTTTTTACATTACAATTTTACGTTTTACGATTTTTTAATCTCCTTCCAATTTTACTTAAGATCTCGATTTTAACAACATTGATCACGTGACAAATTCCAATGAGTTGTACACCAAGTATATGGGCAACTAATTGTATTAATTAGGTAAAATATTTGAAAATAATATTTGATTTTTAAATATTATGTATTTTTTTTCTTAAATTGGCTTCCTTGGTTTGAGGAATATTGGCAAAAAAAAATTTTCTTTTTTTTTTTTGGCTTCAAAACACTTGACTCAAAATCTCTGTTTTTGGAAGGTAAAAGAAAAATCTTGAGTCAATAGTTTCTCAAGCAAAACAAAAGATTTTTAGTCAAATTCTTGAATAGCAGAGATGCTCATAATTATATTACGAGATTGGGTCCAGTGAGTGCAAATGATTATACTAGATGGGATTCGGAATCACAAGCGTAGGCACAATTAGTGACAATTATGAAAGCAAATTCCACAGTCCTCGCCAAAAGGGAACAGACTATACTTATTACACCTTGTGCTGTTGTGTGCCTCCGAAAGCAAAAGGAAAAAGAGAGAACAAAGATAGACATTGATTGCAGCTCCCTCTTGTGTATTTTATTGTTCATTTATATACATATGGTTAAGTTATTGATTTTATATCCCTCCCAAGCATGATATAGATGATGATGAAGAATCACTTATTTATTTATTTTTTGGTAGAAATGATGAAGAATCACTTAGGTGATAGGGCCCTTTCATGCTTAAAATAAAAAAAAAAAAAAAAAAAAAGATGTTCTGTTTTGATTATTTTTCTCACAACATAACATTAACTAAATATTGCCAGGAGGGTTTTCTCTGGTGGGAACTGAGATGTGGTCCATGTCATTGTCAAATTATGATGTTTATATTGTTATCAATCTCATTCTCACTCTGTAGTAAACCTATATTTAATTGGTGATGTTATGACTGTTAAATAATGGTCAAATGTTTTCGATGAAAATGATAAATATAAAAAATGCATGGCGGAAAATATCATAAAACTACTTAGATTGACTAAAATAAGTTAAGTTAATTTGACTTGTTTAGATTGACCAAGCTGAGTTCAAAACGAGTCAACTCAGCTTTAGATCACTTTAATGGTGACTCAAAAAATGATCAACTCACTTCAACTCACCTCAGTTTGATGATTAAAGGAGTTAATATACTTAAGTTTTTTTTTAAAAAATAAAAAAATGGATTTAATATTTCCCCCTAAAAAAGATAAAATTATCTCCTTATCATCTAAAACGATGTCATTAAATACACATAATTTTTATTTCGTTGATGTAACAAAAAATTTAAATGGAGTCAGACATTGGTATTCCATTAGTGTCAGGAAAGATCCCTAACCTCTTTAAAATTTTTTTGAAATGAATTATATTTTATCCACTAACAAAGATCTCACATTACCCTACAGGAGGGATTTTTTTAATACATTATTATTGAGTAAATTTTGAATTAATTCCACTAAAATAAACCTGAGACCATCCTCTATTTAGTGAAATACACATAAAATTCATTTATTAGTAACAAGTGTATTAAAAAATATATTACTAAACTCGTCGTCTAGTTATACTCAAATAGAACCACTTTTTAACTGTCAACTGCTTCGACATTTGAGAGAGAGGAGGGGGGGTGGGTGGGGGATGCTTGGCTGAGAAAAAAGAAGTTAACCACTTCCACACTCATACACAATTATTTCTGCAAGAAATTGTATATTCCCTTTAATATTCACGTATTTTTTCTTCATTTTTTTTATATATTTATTTTCAGTTCAGTATGAAGTAAAAAATATAAGTGAAAAAATTATCTATCATTTTTTATTTATAAAACTATATTTAGCCTCGTAACAAAATGACGCTTATTCATTTCCAATTGGTGGAAACTTCACTGGAAAAGCATCAAAACTGTCTGTATTTGACTATTTTCAATAAAAATGATTTTTTTTATAATTTTCTTATATCTAATAATAAAGTAAAAAAAATTTAAACTCAAATGACTTCAATGACCTAAATTTTTAAATATGATTCAAAATTTTACATGATTTACCAAGAAAAATTCTAAACGAAAGAGGAAAAAAAAAAAGAAATGTATTAATGACCTAACTTGCCAACCCATTGGTAAATGCAAGTCAGGCCCAAATTAATATTTTTAGTGGCCCATTTGAAATGAAAACGAAATCCGTCCAATCTATTCAATATCAATACAATGTGGAATGTGAAGTGAAGGAAAAAATAATTAATACAGTGGATTTCTTCACCTCTCATTACAATACATGGAAGCATTACAAAGATGCAAAGATGGAAAAACACAAAACGAAAAAAAAAAAAAAAAGGCACAGAAGCTTGTAGTGGCTTGGATACACTTGGAGCCGTTTCATGTTGTTAAAAGATTGTCCAATTAAAGGCCATTATTATCACATCATTTGTTTAGATTGAGCTTGTGACCTTGAAGCATATATTACCTTGAATTGCTATTATTCAAAATCAAATGTATCCAAATTAATCTTTGAGGTTTAATTCTTAAACTTCAAATATGTTTGACTTGAAGATACATTTTCTGTTTTTCCCCCAATGTACTAGAAATTTTTTATTTTTAGATATTAAAATTTCAAAATACATGTTTAGTTAATAAATCTTTTAGCCTCTCAGTACTACGTGTTTAATTCGCTTATACAAGATTCATGTTACCTAAGACCTACATCTTAGTTTCATAGAAAAAGGTTTTGTTAGGAACTATTCTCTTGCCACAGATAAAGAGATGGAAATTACCACCTAGATCAACTGGTACGGGATTGTTCCATCTTAATAAGTAATTTTGAATTCGAGCCCTAAGCATGCAGCTATATTAAAAATTTGGTAGGAAAAGTTTTGTTGCCTCTATGGTACTGCCTTCAAACAAGACTTCTTGCTATTGATTCGAAGATCCCTATAGGTCGTGGCCAGCGAGAATCAATAATTGGAGATAGACAAACAGGTAAAACAGCAGTAGCCATTGATACGATTCTCAATCAACAGGGACAAAATGTAATATGTGTTTATGTAGCGGTTGGCCAAAAGGCATCTTATGTGGCTCAAGTGGTGACTACTTTATAAGAAAGGGGAGCAATGGAATACACTATTGTGGTAGTTGATAGTTTATACTAAAAAAAAAACAAAAAGAGATGGACATTGGACAACATCGATATCATATGTGGTGTGAGATGGTGGTCCACGTGGTTGGATGCAACATAGGATGGGGATGGAGATTCAGTTCTCATTGGTTCAAAATCTATCCATGAGAGATTAAGATCTAATCTACAGATTTTGTTGTCCTACTTGGCCTTCTATGAGAGCTCCTTCTGATTTTCTCCCACTTCACTTCCACTCACATATAAAAGTCACAACAAGTGTTCATTTGCAAAGAAAACTTCAAACCAGCCTCATTTTCCTGCAGTAGCGTAAAAGAGAGATGGCAGCTGCAGCATCTACTGCTGTGTTGTTTAGATTTGGATCTTGCTTCTTATGTGGAGGAAAGAGAAGCCAAACACTGCTGGCTGCTGGTGTTGGAGGCAAAGTTGGTGCTGCTATTAGTCCTAAAAGAGTTATAGTGGCAGTTGCGGCCACACCAAAGAAGTCATGGATCCCTGCTGTGAAAGTTAGTGGAAATTTCATTGACCCAGAATGGCTTGATGGCTCGTGAGTCCATCTATCTTCTCAGTTTCTCTCTTTTTCTTTCTTAGTATATCTTTTCAAAGTTTGATGGATTCTCAGTTCATTGTTGCAATTGTAGGTTTACCAGGGGACTTTGGTTTTGACCCATTAGGCTTAGGCAAGGACCCAGCTTTCCTCAAATGGTATAGGGAAGCTGAGCTCATTCATGGGAGGTGGGCAATGGCTGCAATTGTAGGTATCTTTGTGGGTCAAGCATGGAGTGGAGTTCCATGGTTTGAGGCTGGAGCTGATCCTAATGCAATTGCTCCTCCTTCTCATTTGGTTCACTTCTGGGTACCCAGTTACTTCTCATGGGGTGGGTTGAAAGCAAGAGATGGGTGGATTTCTTCAACCCAGATTCACAGTCACTGGAATGGGCCACACCATGGTCAAGAACTGCTGAGAATTTTGCCAATGCTACAGGTGATCAAGGATACCCTGGGGGAAAATTCTTTGACCCGTTGGGGTTTGCTGGCACAATCAAGGATGGAGTTTACATTCCAGATAGAGAGAAGCTAGAAAGACTGAAATTGGCTGAGATTAAGCATGCTAGGATTGCAATGTTGGCAATGCTGATTTTCTACTTTGAGGCTGGACAGGGGAAGACACCTCTTGGTGCTCTTGGTTTGTAAACAAAATAATGTACATAGTGTATGAGAAATACTTGAAAAGTGCACGTCGGGCCATGTTTATATGTAGTCACTTTCTTACAAGGTTTCAATTATCTTTGTCATACTCATGCAATGTGGTAAAATAAAATTTAAAGATAGCTTGGACTGCCATATATAAATACTTTGTAAGAAATCTGAGTATGAAAAGTACAAAGTGTCAAAAGCTGAATATGTTCATCCATAAAAAATAATCTAGGTTTAAAGAACTAAAATAATGCTAGAAGCATGAAAGAAATGCAGCAAAATCAACTCTTTTTATAGTGGAAGGGTTTCTCTAATTATTCGCTCCCAGACCCAGTAGCCATCAAAAACTCACCCTCACACACAACTTCACCTCCAACATATGTCTTCCCTTCCATCTTTGCTATTCCAAACCGCTTTTGCAGTTTGGTAAGTGTCATTCTCATAACCAAGGTGTCTCCTGCAATCACTGGCTTCCTAAATCGCACTTTGTCTATTCCAGCAAAGAAGAAATTCTCACGAGAACCTCCCACTTCAGGTTGTAACATAACCAAGCCACCAACTTGTGCCATTGCCTGTATCAAAGAATCTCACATTTATCACCACTTACAAAGAAGATTCAACAGAAACCCTATAAGATTTATTCTTTTTTTCATTTCTTTACTTTCTTATTGGCCATAGGGGACTTCAGAAAAGCTATCTGCGTTTTGCACAAAAAGCAGGTTCTCAAACTTATCAGCTAAAGTAGAAAATTACATACACCTCTGGTCTATCTCAACTCAAAAACTCTTTCATAAGTCGGATCTTAAACAGCAGGGCATTTGATATAAATAAGCTTCAAAGTCTAATGAGAAATTGAAAGTAACATAGTACCCTGGTCCAATCAAGATGAAGGTGCAATATTAGCTCTAGAGATCGGACAGATATTGGATCACTGATGTTTTTCTTGCATTCAAACAGGCACAAGTTAAACAAAACCTAAGCTAGACACCAAGGGGCATGTGCCCCAGTTATTTCACGCCTATGAAATACAAGCCACAAATGGAATATGAAGGAAACTTTACACAAGCAAGAATGTCACTAACATACAAATCATATTCACAATAAATTGAGATTATGTGAACATCAAGTTAGTCACAATTTGTATCAATCTTCATCTCCAAATTTTGCATTAGAGTGGCAGAGGTCAACGAACATCATTCCAAATTTAAATGGTAATTTCATTCATTTTATGATTTTCAAACCTGAAAAATTATGGGAACTTTAAGTAAATAAGTAAATGTCATGATCAATAATTTTTTTTATATTCACCAAGTTGACTCACTGTACTTCAAAAGTCTAAAAACGCCAAAGAAGAGTCCATCTTGCATGATTTGACATTTTTTTTTATGAATAACTGGGATTTGATTTTTATTTTATCTAGTATGGATGAGTGTCCAAGACAAGACATGAATATGTGAATTTGATACATGAGTAATTGTCAAAGTCGAACATGGGAAATGCTGCAGAGGAAGCGTGCTGAGTCTAATGCAAAGACTTATGCCTACCTAAGCTGATGTTCATACTCGTACATGATGTTAGGCAGCAAAATATGAGCTTGTCATGTCTCCCAGAATCTAGTACATGGTTCTTGACAAATGAAGGATAAAGAAAAACTACTAGCCTATAATTGTTGCACTGCTACTAAAAGCAGTTTCTACAAAAGCTTCAATCATGAATACAAAAGCAACAAAAGTTGGGCAGGAACATGTGTTATATATGCTCCTCAATATTTTATATATACCTATAGAGTGTTTCTCCTGAAGAGATAAAATTACTTTTAGCAACCCCAAAAAAACATCATTTCGAGATTTAGGAAAGAATGCAGGGTATTTTGGAAATTTTACTTTCCTCTTGTAATTACAAAAATACTCTACATATTTTTTTCTTCCAAACCCCAAGGACATTGTTTTGGGATTGCAAGAGATAATTTTATTTCTTATTGCAGGAGAAACATTAATCCCTTTTTTAATTACAGACATTAACCAGAACTGCTGACAAATTGATAACCATCTCTTAACTACTAGTTGGACCACCATAGTTCACAAATCACTTGCTATTGCTCCAAAATTACAATACAATAACACCAGTGTTATGGATCAGTCAAATGGTCTCCACTTCTATCCCTACTACAAGAAGCACCTCACTCCCCTATTATCTCTCAACTATATATAACCACTCATATGCATTGCATGACACCACCAAGTTATTGGGAAAAACCACCCATTATGTGCACAACTTCTCCAACTGCTAGTGTACTTCATCTACATATAGCTACCTATAGCAAAGGATCAGAAAACAACTTATCTTAGCATTCATACTTGCCACCATGGCTACAACCTTCATATTTGTGCCCAGAGCACATCTTATATACTAAGCAGGTGACTCACACACACCCCTTTTTTCATATGATCGGACTTTGGCCTAAAGTGCAAAACTTCTTATTGCCTGTCATCTTTACCATAAGCTTCGTAAATACAAATACTAGTTATCCTACTAGACATTGATGTTCATTTCTGAACATCAGGCGCCGTCTGTGGGAACCATAAATTTCTAATCCCACCTTTGATCCTTATGGCAAGTGACGGTAATCATGGAAACTTGCCTAACAATGGACGAATCCCTGGAGAGGAGGAAGAGAACTCATGGCCGACGGACAACTAGGAACCACGAACCGGGAATCAGGAACTAAGAACCAGGAACCAGGAACTAGGAACCGGGAACCAGGGAAATCATTATCAACATTCTCGGTAGTCAAAAACCAAATGGCTTCAGGAAGCAGCAACATTGTTGTTTGCGCTTTATCTTAATTGTTGTTGCGATCAATAGGTCGATGTCGATGCAAGGGTTATAAGCTAAGTCTCCTTTACTTTTTGTCAACATTATTGTTGAGATATATAGTCCCACATTGATTGTGTTGGCAACTAATGTGGCCTTTATAAGGCCTTGGACACTCCCACCCTTTGAGCTAGCTTTTGGGGTGGTGTATCTCAAGGTTCTTTACATGGTATCAGAGCTTGAGCCCTCACCGCCTCCCACTTTAAAGTGGAATTAAAAAAATAAAAAACACAAAAGGTAAACCAAAAATTGGGCCTGTGCATAATCCACGCTTCAAGCCCAAAGGACTCTTGCGTGAGGGGACGTGTTGAGATATATAGTCTCATATTGATTGTGTGGGCAACTAATGTAGCCTTTATAAGGCCTTGGGCTCTCCCACCCTTTGAGCTAGCTTTTGGGGTGGTGTATCCCAAGATTCTTTACAATTATCTCGCAATTCGACCAAGTATTTGCATATTTGAAAATAGATGATTAATAAATAAATAAAAAATAACACGATATACACATGATAGTCGGTCAATATGATATTGTAGATGAATGGTTCAACCACAAGATATTTATTGGTGCCACCTCTTCCTTTTTAAGTTCGGTATTGATTAATTCTTCTTCTTTTTGTTTTAAGAAAATGAACTTTTTTTATTGCAATTTTGAGTATGATTGTTCATTTATATATTATTATTCAATTAAAAATCCTTGTAATAAAATAGTGCATAATGTTTATAGGAGCCAAAAAAGAAATGAAAAACTTAATATTAGATAAATATTGGTCAATATCACATGAAAAGGTATTACTGTAGATGGATTTCTAAAACCCGGCTTGAAAAGGTATAGAATATGAAAGATACAAAACCTTGCAGTTCCCTGATTTCAAAATTAGGACCGCATTTATACCTGTTGTTACCATAAATTTTCTATATAAATTAATTATCTATTAGTTTAAAGCAAAAAATAAAATGAAAAACTGAAGTGCATATGCAATTACTTTAACCTCTACGTGCAATATCTCTACTAAATGCAGTTATTAGCAGTTATTCCCAGTAAATGCAATAAACGCTCCGTTAATCCTCATCTTCATTTATCTATTTCTAATTCATTCCTTTAAGACAGGTAAGAAAATGCCACTAAAATTGATTGCAGTGAAGCAAGAAGCTGGAAGTTGGAAACAGGAAGCAGGAAGTAGGACACCCGACTTCCCCCAGGAAGGAAGCAGGAAGTAGGACACTCGACTTCCCCAGAAAGGAAGCGGGAAGCAGAACAACCGACTTTCCCAAGAAAGAAGTGGGAAGCAGGAAGAATGACTTCTTAACAGTATATATGAGCTCTTGCTAAAAAACGCTATAACCTTTCAATAAATGCTCTAACAATTAACAGAGTTCCTTGCAAGCTTGCATGCTTTATATTTTTTAGGGTGCAAGACGTCCACTGGGTTCATAATTCAAAGACAAAGCAATCACGATCCTGCTAGAAAAATAAAGTCCCTTGACGCTAGAAATGGACTCCTGGGCACCGGTTCAATTTCTACTCAGAAGCATGAAAACAAAGTCCCTTACCGCCAGAATTAGCCTCTTGGGCACCCATTCAATTCCTACTCGGAAGCGGGAAAACAAAGTCTCTTGCCGCCAAAAGAAGACCAGCCCTCCGGGATAAAAATGGTTTATTAAAAGAAGACTGGCCATCAGGGATAAAAATAGTTGATTAAATAAAGACCGACCCTGCGAGATAAAAATGGTTTATTAAATGAAGGCAGGCCCTCTCGGATAAAAATTGTTTATTAAATCGTTATTATTTGCACCTCGGAATATCGATTTACGTTACTCCGAGTTAGGAGGTTTAACATGTTCGGGGTAACTTTACTCCCGCTGGATATAGAATCATCCGACTTGGGCTCTAGCCCATGAACCCGGGTCATGGGTTCATACCCATGATCCTCCTCCCGCTATCTCTATCCACAATCACCTACAAGAAACCGCTCTGAGGCCACTTGCTTTATAATCAATATAAATACAAGAACAATATCAATAAAGGGGGACTTCCTACACATTACCATCGAGTGAAACTCAGTAGTTAAAGTGTGGATTAACCAGTTAACTCTTGGCCAGAAATTAGCATAAGTCTCCTTCAAAAGCGTGGAATTGAATTTTAGGTGATAGAATTCTATTGCAGCATGTGGCTCCGGAGTTGTCATGGGGAGTGACTTTATGCCATTAATCCACATATTTGCATGATAAAGTATATTAATATTACTATTCAAGAAAAAGTACTAAGGATATTCAAATGATTAGATACTGCAATAATTATAACAAAAAAACTTGGCCAATTGTTGAAATACCAGTGTGAATGTTGGCAGTAAAAATAAGGTAATCATATAGGAATGCGACTAAGAATGAAATAAACTGAATATAAAATCTGAATAGTGTTTAGATAAAAAATGACTATGAGCAACGAGTAACTCGAAAGCAACCCGAAACTCGGAAGAAGCCACAAGCCGGACATTCCCGTCATTCATATCTTTTTGCACAACTCTTTAAACAATATTTGATAGGCACGGGGGCTTTACTTTCACCCCGGCATTCTGACTTTGTGCAATACCAGGCTGGGGGCTTATGTTATGGACCAGTTAAATGGTCCCCACTTCTATCCCTACTACATGAAGCACCTCACTCCCCCAGTATCTCTCAACTTCCCTCAACTACATATAACCACCCATATGCATTGCATGACACCGCTAAGTCATTGGGGAAAACCACCCATTATGTGCACAACTTCTCCAACTGCTAGTGTACTTCATTTATATACAGCTACCTATAGCAAAGGATCAGAAAACAACTTATCTTAGCATTCATACTTGCCACCGTGGCTACAACCTTCATATTTGTGCCCAGAGCACATCTTATATACTAAGTAGGTGACTCGTACACACCCCTTTTGTTCATACCATGGACTTTGGCCTAAGGTGCAGGACTTCTCATTGACTGTCATCTTTACCATAAGCTCCGTAGATACAAATATTACCTATCCTGCTAGACATTGATGTTCACTTCTAAACAACCAGCGTTTCAACAATTTAAGAGATCTTTTCTAATAACCAAGTTGATCTACAACGCGTTCTTAAGGTTTAAAATGAATAACACCGAGAGGTTGTTTCCAAGCTAAGCAGTAGAAACTTACCATTTCTTTTATCCAAGCATACAAACTAAAAATACCTTGTAATAGCCTGATATTCAAACAGTAGATATTTTTATTTAAGTAGAGAAACAGCTTACAATAGCGCATAAAGCATAGAAATTTTATACTTACAGAATCAAATATTTTCACACAACCGTCATAATGAAAAGGGTAGGCCAAGCATAGTGTTTACCTCAACCATGAGAACACCAGGCATGATTGGCCTTTCAGGAAAATGTCCAGGAAAGAAGTTGTCATTTATTGTTACATTCTTTATGGCCACCGCAGAAACTCCAGGATTGTATTCAATCACTCTATCCACTAGAAGAAATGGAAACCTGAAATGACACCCCCACCAAAAGAAGAGTCAAGATATGCATCCATTAAAAAAAAACAACTAAGAAAACCCAACACTAACCTGTGGGGCAGAATATCGCGAATCTGATTGATGTCCAATGCTGTTGGAAAGGCAGGATACCCTTCAACAACAGCAAAACCCAGAAACCATGTTGTAAGAAAAATAAGAAAGTGGAAGGTGAACAGAATCTGAAATCATAATAGGAAGCCAAAAATGCATACTTAATTCAATTGGGGTGTCTTCTTTGGGACCATTTGCAGCATCTGAAGAACAAAACGTCGTAAACCGTCTTGTGCCACAGGTCTTCCTCAACTGGGTAGCGAGAGGCAGAGATCTTGAGCTGGGAAATCTGAGAGACGAAAATTTGGGAAGAGAAGAATGGGATGAAGGAAACGTAGGACATGCGGGAGATAGGAAGGTGTTTGAGAAAGCAGAGACCGCCATTGTTGATGTTCACTGAGGTTGACTCTGAACTGTAAACGAAGTTTGTTTGTGTATGCTATGAATGCATTTAATATCATTTAAGATGGGGCCTTAGGCGAAAGAAACAAAGTTCCAGATGCAACCACCAAAGGCGTTTTTTTGTGTTGCGACGGAGTCTCCAACGTTGTTCCTTAAATATAATATTTTTTCTTCGATACAAATGGAAATCAACACCTAATCTAATAGAACTACCAAAATCACTCACCACCATTACACCACTCTTACTCGCTTTTTATAGGTAAATATTAAGGCTTCTTTTTTGTTGTAAATTACTTATTAGTATTTTTATTGGTATTATTTTAAATAAAATTATATAATTAAATGTAAATATATTATTGTCAATATATATAGAGTCACGTTGTATCTACAAACTTTTTTTGTTTACAAACTTTTACAAACTACACGTTATGACATTTTCAGTTGTTTGGTGTGACCATCGTATTGTATAAGCTTATACAGCATAATCCCTTAATACATCAAAACGATGTATAACTTAATTCGACCTAAGGGTGAGAGATAAGACATGATAAAAGATTAATGTATTAACATCGTTCACCAATGTAATTTTTAAAAATTAATATATTATTTTAATATTAATCTATTAAAATAAAAATTAATTTTTCAATATATTAATATTTTAAAAAATTAATATATTGAATATTTTTATTTTTATAAAAATTTATATTTTGGACACACTGATCAATAAATTTTTATAAAAATTAATATCAAATGATATTTTTTGAAGAATTATATAAATTCTTTATTAAAAGATATTTCTATTAAAAATATTTATTTATATCATATATAGTTTTATACAATACATTACCAAATATTAGATGATATTAACTTATACAATGTATTATTTTATACAATACCGTGTCAAACGCTGGATAGTATTAAAATTCAATCAGGTCTTATACTATTAGGTCTTATACTATCAAGTCTTATCATATACTATGCACCAAACATGCCCTAAGTACGACCGGTCATACTTTAATAATGCAGTGTACGACCGGTCGTACTTAGTGTAATTTGCAAAAAAAAATTTGTAAATGAATCTTATCCCATGTATATAATTTATCTATACTGAATCCAAAATAATATCATTTTGATATAAAAATGAAGATATTTTTGTAATTTAATTTATTTTAGAGTTATAATAATTTTTATATTATAATTTTTTAATATTTGGACTCAAAATTTGTAACAAGTGAATGTAAATAACTCGATGTAAATATATGATAGAAACTCGTGTTTTGGTGGCAGTTTTGAGTGTCGGAGAGGGAGAGAGGAAAAGTGGGGTTTTGGGGAGTGAGTGATGGATTTGCAGCGTAACAACTCGTCGTCTCCTTCTTCGTCTTCTAATTCCATAAACAATTCTAACCCCAACAAAACGACACCGTCTCGTGACGACCCTATGCAGTCTTGGTGGGAATCCGTGTCGAAGGCTCGTTCTCGCATCCACGCCCTCGCCGCCATCCTCCCTTCTTCTTCCTCCGATTCCCTCTCCACCCTCGCCGACTCCGACCGCCCCGCTCTCTCCCTCTTGTCCTCCCCCGCCGCATACTCCGCCATCTCCGCCTCCCTCTCCGGCTCCGAATCCGATCCACTCTGCCACTGGCTCTACGACACCTTCCTCTCCTCCGATCCTCACCTCCGACTCGTCGTCCTCTCCTTCGTCCCTCTCCTCTCCGGCCTCTATCTCTCCCGCATCCACTCCGAACATTCGCCTTCGCTCGCCGGCTTCGAGGCCATCCTCCTCGCAATATACGCCTACGAGACCAAAATCCGCGCCGGTAAACCACTCCTCGTCACTATCCCCGACCTCTCCCACCCTTCCATCTACCACTCCCCTCTCAGGAAGCCCCCTCCTTCCGCTGCCACCACGCCGCCTTCCGTCGGCATAATATCTCCCCCTCTGGAGCCCCAATCGGCGGTGAAATCGACCAAGAGAGGCTGCATTGTTGGCGTGGCACTTCATTGTTACTACTCACAGATCTCTCATATGCCAAGCTGGTCCAAGCTCGAGTTTTGCCGCTTCTCTGCTGGTTGGGCTGGCCAGGATTGCCCTTGCAGGACAGAGTTTGATCCTGTTGGGAATGATGTCAATGGTGAGATAGAGATTGAGGAATTAGAGATAGAGATGGGGAATTTGCAGATTCTTGAGGCTGAGGCCAAAAAGGGGGATAGGATCCCTTTGCCTTGGGAGATTTTACAGCCTGCTTTGAGAATATTGGGACACTGTTTGTTGGGTCCATTGAACTCTCAGGATGTGAAGGATGCTGCCTCTTATGCTGTGAGGTGTTTGTATGCGAGGGCTTCTCATGAATTGGTGCCACAGGCTATACTTGCTACGAGAAGTCTCATTCAACTTGATAATAGGGCTAGGGATGCTGCCAAAGCTGCTGCTGCCACCGCCACTTCAAATGCTAGCACGCCTACCAAACTCAAGAAACCTGAAATTCTTTTGGTTTCTAAGTGAGCATTAATTATGTTTGCTGTATAGTATAGTATAGTATGTGGGTTGCTGTTCAAGACCATTCAGTTTGTATAATAGATTTTGTGGATATTTTTATTAAGTCATATATAGTTTATTTACCCCCAAGTGATTAGTTAGCTGTTTTAATTTTGCTTCGGTTGTGGCCTTGTTTGATTGTAATGCTCTTCGTTGTGTGATTTCTATGCGGTGGTTTCCTTTTGTATTTGAAATATTGTTGTACTCTGCTGTAAAGATTGAGGAAATTGAATTAGATATTCTTTATGATTGATAATTTGTTTGCTGGATCTTTTAAACTTCCCTAGATAATAGTGGTCACGTCAGCTGTTTTGGTTTTCTAATGTTAAAGATTTGTTCACAGTTCAAATGTTATTTTTTAATATATGTTGAGAAGTCACTGCAAGGCCTTTTATATTATTGCTTATCCATAGTGACTATGTTTGCAACAAAATCTATTTCTCTTGTTATCTGTATGAACCTTTTTGTTACCTTTTGAATTCTCATATATAATCTGTTTGTTTCTGTCTCTGATCAGGGTCTTCATTCCAGTAAATTTATAAATTGTTGGTATTATCTATCATTCATCTTACTGAGTCTAAGCTTACCAATACATTCAATAAAAGGCTTCAAGGTTATCATTAGGGCATCAGCCCTCAGGTAGACTCGGCTTTTAATATACTTGGGTACTGCTTGTATACACACTCGTACCTGTCTGCTTTCTGATATCATACTGATATCACTTTTTGGAGTGGGATTCCATACCAAAATATCTGTAATACAGTACCTGTGATTTCCAGATCTATCAGAGGATGTGCAAAGAACTTTTATAGTTTGTTTGATGCTTGCCAGAAGGATACAGTGGAATTTGATGATAACAAAGAATTCACAGTAGTACTTGCTAGAAGAAATGATGGAAAGAACACATCATGAAGAATAATACTTCCTAGGCTAATTAAACTCCATACTGTGTGGTGATTGCAGGTCTAGAATCTCAAGTTTAAATTAGTAATCAGTTTGCAACGACCACCTATCACTAGAGTGTATTCTAGGAGGAGCGTATAGGAGCGGTACCCTCGGGCAGCATTGAGATTTTTACTTTCCTTTTGGTGGGGAAAGCAGTTGCAACTGCGGAGAAGGAAGGTGTAGGATAAGTAGGGGAAGAGAGAGGATGGGTAAGAAAGAGATTAGTAAGAAGACTAGGGTAGGAGAGTATGGCCTCTCAAATGTCCAGTATGAGTCACCTTTTAATCTTTCTCTGAAGTGCACTATTTCTGCCACTGCCATGATTGGTAGTTGTTTCTTCCAGTTTTCCATCTCAATTTGCAAGCTCTGTTAGTTGGAGATCTATCACAATCCAACAATTTTATATGTTGAAAGTTGAAACTTTGATTTGCTGAATTCTGTTATCCTGTTATCTATTAAGCGCTGAATTCTTGTATTCAGTATTGCAGTGTAGCTTCTAGGCCCAGTACAAAAATAATGTTTTTTTCTTTCTTTTTGTCTAGCAGTGAAGGCCCCTAGAATTTACTCCTTGTTAGCAGATGCATTATTTCATTTGTTTGGGATGCCCTTGTGCTAAAATAGCCTTTCAATTCATGGTGTCTATTTCTCTATTTGAATAGTAATATCTAGTTAGAAATATGAGGTATGTTAATTTGTGTTTCAATTGAATGACCTGCTGCTGACGAAGGTAAAGTGTTGTGTACTTTAGGATCTTTACGATAGAGCCAAATGAAATGACGAGACTGGCTGACTACTCAGTGTAATGATGCTTGTATAAACTTGGCTTTCCTAACGTTTATGCAAAAAAGAAATGCAGTGCAGTCACAACTAATACAGGGCGTATTCGAAACTCCAATATCGTTCTAACAAAGATTTTTTAACATTTTTGACTTGACTAAAATTTGCAATTGCTTAAAACCTGAATTTCTAACTAAAAAGAAAATTATGATTAATGTTGATAAACAGAAAATAAAATAAACAAACAGAAAATTAAAAGTTCATTTGGAATTTTTCTAATTTAAATTTGAAAACAATTTCTTAATGCAAACAATGGAAGAAATAAAATAAAATGAGAAAATTATTTTTGGACTTTTCAAATTGATTATATTTTACAAGAATTAATAAGGAATTTTACTCAATAAAAAACAAACAGATTTAACAAAGTATTAATAAATCTAATGAAAAACTGGGTTGCGTTCTGATTTCTTCCCCACAGCCCTTAGCCCTTAGTGTTGAATTGTTTAACAAAATTCTTTCATAATTGTTTTTCAGTTGGCAGATTACTGTGAATTTTTAATCCCTTAAAAATTCTTTTTCCTTTTGTTCTCACATAACTTATCCTTAAGCTAGTGAGACTAAGAGATTAAAGCAAAGGTTCTTTTTGCCACATAAAGGAGTAAAAATCATCTCTGAATTACTCCCTCAAATAATCCTTAATTTGAGTGCATGAGCTCAACTCATTTTCCAGATAAATTTATTTCTCAATAAACTTCTCCTAAGCAAACGTATTCCATACGGCCAAAATGGAATCATTCAAACATATAAAAAAGAGTTGAACTAAAGAAATTAAACATTAATACCAGAAAAGCAATTAACACCAGTCACTATGGTTGGGTTCAGTCACCTAACCCTTAGAAAACTTAGCTCATATCCATAAGAATTGAGCTCAACTACGGGAATGAAAAGGAAAA